AACGATCTGCAAATTTGACCAGAATTATAAGTAATCGGTTCTACTATTTAGATCACAATCAAAATTAGCCGTAATGTTTACCGAACGACCAAAAAGATTTTGGGTAATGAGCAAGTGTCCCAGAAATTATGACAATAGCTGTAAATTAAGTTCATCCAATAAATTTAATTCTTTATTTGTTAAATAATTCGATCCAGTGTATTATTTTTTCATGTGACTTAAGGACCGAGTCCTTACTGGTCCTTGAAAGGATCGGTTAGGACTCAATCCCAAAGGACCGATTATAGACGAGTCAAATCACTAGTTACTTCGGTCATATATTCATATAAAATGATACAATAATGCAGACCAAACTTTTGTAAATCCGGTGCTTTATATATGGGTGATCGAGAGGAAAAACCTGTAAGTACTGTAGAAATTTATCCCCTGAATACAGTAGTTGTATTAAGGACACTGATCGTATGTGATTAATTACTTAAATTTTTATTTACAGGTTTTCCCTCTCGAGTACCCATATGTAACATGATAAAAATTACAGAAATTACATAAAAATACATGTAAGATTGTAACTTTCGAAACACAACCCTACCTGTAAGTCTGTTTATGCGAAATGAGATAAAATCGATCTATTTATGTTGTAAATTCTGCTAAATTCTGTTGAATTATGCCATAAATTCTGCGAACCAATAAACATTTACTTTAACTTCCCGCTTCTTTCCGAAAAACACGCACGAGTTTTAGCTCAGGGCGTAAAATACCAACTTATTTACCGGCCATTCAAAAATATCTGACTTGATTCAAATTTGCATCAAAAAAGACACTTGAAACAATGGGCTGCATGACCGGTAAATGAGTTGGAGTTACACCTGCACCTATAGTTTGCATCAGAATCTCCCGGGCTTCAAATTTTTATTCCCTGAATTATTATGCGAAATCTGCTTTTGATGAGTAAAATATGCTATCGCATATGCTATGCGATAAAATGCATATTGTGTCATCGCAGATTTTCGGTGGTCCTAACTATGACTAACCTATTACTGTATTAGCTCGACGAGACAAAACAAAGTGAAAATTTCAAAAAAATACAAAAAACGAGTGTCTAAACCTGTCTTGGGATACTAATAAAAAATGTTGGGAAGACAATTTTACTTATAAAACATGCCTCATTCCAGCATTCCTAACCCCTAACTAATTCTTATCTTGATTTTAATTATATATTAAATAATCAAAAATATATGAACCATAATAAATTTCTTTTAATTAATTTAATAAATTACTTTTAACAAAAATTTCATTATTATTATTGTAATACGTAAATATAGACAGCTTTCAAATAACTGTTTAATAAAAATTCCTTTCGAAATTTTAGCTTTATTCTATACTTTATTCTATCTATACTTTAAATTTAGAACTCTTAATTTTATTGGTTAGAATAGAATCCAGTGTTCGATACACCGATAATGCTAAAATTTATATTTATTTAGACTTATTCTTTTACATGTCCTACCTTTTTTACAGCAAAAAATGATTGCCCACTAACGCATGACCTGAAACATGACCTCAATTCTAGCAAACAAACAATAGCGATAACGATAATTTATATTACATACACAATCTGATTGATAATGTCGGCGTTGCATTATCAGATTCTCAAATCTGATAAAAGGCTTAGCGTTAGGTCCTTTTATCATTTGTGTTTCATTAAGATTGCTGTATTACTAATTACTAATCTTGTCATGCTTTTATTTAAATAGAGGTCATTTTGCGACATTATAAATAGAGGTCATTTTACCACATCTAAAAATTTTGACATTCTTTTTAAAATATGTTGCGTACTGTTATAAATAATATTGGTTCGTTGTGCCGAACTAACACTCAATCAATTATACGTCCTGCTTCGCTTGTCCTGACACGATCTTATCATGAAAAGGTTGGTTATACTTCTAAAATATAAATCTTGAAGCAAAAAAACTAGTTGTACGGATATACCGAGGCAAACTTCTCTATTAGAAAGAATTTATTACAAATGTTTACGCTTGATGTAAATACTAATGTCTTGACAAATTTCTTTTTAAAGGTTATTGACCACTATGAACGTCCTCGTAATGTTGGGTCACTTCCACGAACAGATCCAGACGTTGGAACTGGACTTGTTGGAGCACCAGCTTGTGGTGATGTTATGAAACTTCAAATTCGTGTTGACGAACAGAGTGGCAAGATCGTTGATGTTAAATTCAAAACATTTGGATGTGGTTCTGCCATTGCTTCGTCAAGCTATATGACTGAACGAGTGAGAGGCATGTCTCTGGAAGAAGCCAGTCAAATTAGAAATACTGAGATTGCAAAGGAATTATGTCTGCCCCCTGTGAAGCTTCATTGTTCAAGTATGCTACTTCTTTTTATCTGTTTTACAAATGTAACTTGCAATATTAAAGATTGTTTTTTTTTTGATATCACGAATAGTGCTCGCAGAGGACGCCATTAAATCTGCAATCAAAGACTATAAAACAAAGCGTGCATCAACATCAACGGCACCGTCAGTTAATCTCTCATCTCAACAAGCCGCTGTTTAAGTGAGTGAGTTATGGTATTTACTTATTTTACAAAAAATTGAGGCATGGATAATAAATCAACGCTCTAAATTAAAATTTTTTTTATAATTTTCAAAAAATTTAATAGAAATCAATCATCTTTGATATACATACGTA